AAGAGGAGAAATGCACTAGACACGGTCACTTCCTTCTTTCCTGTCCTCCACTGTAAAAAAATGAAAAGAATTTCCTGGAAGGAATGTGCTATATTATGTGAATGCAAGAGACAGAAATGTTGGGGTTTGGGGTTGGTTTTGTTTGTTTGTTTGTTTGTTTTTAAGAAGGGTAGTTTCCTATTGGTTGGTGTATTACTGGATCTAGTAAAAATAGGATAATTTTATCGTGGAATTTAATCATGAGCATTGTATTTTAAAGCTAACATTATTAGCCCACTAGCCAGTGAAACTGTGGTTATTAGAAACAGGACCGGAGACAGTCACCAGTACGGTAACTCTGTTAGATGTGAAGGATTTTTCAAGTTTGGGTAAAATAAGACTTCAGTGCTTTTCTCTCCTAGCAACAAATAGTAGAGATATACCAGACATAACAATTCCTACCTTGCCATCACCCGCAGTTTTCTTTTTGTTGTCCCTTCTCACTGATCTGGGTTTTTTCTTAAGTGAGTATCTTCTAGGAAACAGCAGCATGCATCTCATGGAATTGTTGACAGCTGCACTTTAAAATCCATTTTTGAGAAGAGAAGCATTAGTGTGTGCCAGCAGAAGATCCTAGAATTCAAGAGAGAAACTTTCAAAACACTGATGTAGCAGTCTCCCATACCAAGCTGTCCTGGAAATCGTAACTGAGCAGTAGGTAGGTGAATCAGGAGGTGAAGTCAAAGGTAAAGCTAGGTAATCTCTTGGCTAAACTGCAACATTTGCTTAAATTGGACTACAAAATACAATTTACAGATGGATATTTCTCTTCACAAGCTCATCTTGACACAAAACAGTGTAATATCAGGACTATAGTCCTAATATTGGAAGTCAGTTAAAAGATTTCTACTTTTAAACTAAAGGAGGGGAGATTTAGGCTGGATATAAGGAAGAAATATTTTACACTGAGGGCGGTGAAGCACTGGCCCAGGTTGCCCAGAGAGGCAGTGGAGGCCCCATCCCTGGGAACATCCCAGGCCAGGTTGGACGGGGCTGTGAGCACCCTGGGCTGGTTAAAGCTGTCCCTGGCACTGCAGGGGCTGGGCTGGGGGAGCTCTAAAGGGCCCTTCCCACCCAAACCATTCTGTGATTCTACTTATTTCCAGCAGTCAGGACCCCACGTTAGAGTGAGAAAGGTAAAATCAGTGGCAGGGTAGGTAAATTGTCTAGGGAAAGCTAGATACAGAGAGGTAGCAAAAATAGCCATCTCTGCTGGCTTTTCCTCCCTGCTGAGGCAGCCCGAGAGCTCACCTGTCTGCTTGCAGATCAGACGTCCCCAGCACCTCCAGAAGCCATGGGCCACCCGGGCTGGCTTGCTGGGACGCAGCAGGACTGCGAGATGGCAATCCCCCGAGGCAAGACCCCCAAGGACACCTCTCTCACTCCTCTCTCAGCAGTGCCAGCTTCTCCCTGCTTAGTGATCAGGGCAGCCCTCTGATCCAGCGACCGAAAACTGGTCCGGGGGAAGAAATGCTGGTGGGGAAGCACACAGGAGAAGAGATGGAAACCTGCAGCAAAGGGTGAGAGAGGGATCACCCCTTTCTGTGCCAGTGGGAACTTAGAGCAGTGCAGACCAGTTGCGAAACTGCCTCCTTGGGGACCTGGAACAAAACTGCTCTTAAATTGCTCTTCTAGCCTTCACAGTACTAAAAATCTGTCATGACAGTTGCATTAATTTTGAGCCCGGAAATAAAAATCCCGTGACCCAGATATTCAGTGGAAAAATGAATTACTCACTTGTTTTCTTCTCTTTTGGACACTTTTATCTTTGGCTGCTTTCAGCCAGCCATCGCTGTGTGATGTCAAATATTCCTTAGCACGCACTTAACTCACACTATGGGATGGTTTACAGTGATGCATTTGGGGATGATAGTGGAAAATAACGGGGGGAAAAAAAAGGTGCTGTTTTTCTTCGAAACTAGAAATACTTTTGTAAAAGTTAAAATTATTTCATGCCAAACGTACCTTCTCCCTCTCCCTGGTAAGATCAAAGCAGCTCTCTGGTATGCATACACAGATTGAATATGTATTTTGGCTGCGTAGCACCACTTGAAAGCTTTCTAGGTGAGTAGTACCGCTGTGGTGGAGTTGTTGCAAATGAAGAGAGAACATCTACTTCAAAACCCACATACGCACAGAATTATGTGTTCTTTTTAAAGTGAGTAGTTAGCAAGTTATTAGTCATGAAGCTTTTCTATATCCTTCTATTGAGAAGAATCAGAGACTGAATAATTAGTTTATCAAAAGTTCCAACTGATTTTGTTTTCTTCTTTAGTGCTTGATATCGGGCAAATGCAATGAAACTGCTGAGGTATTTTGTCAGAATCAGATTACTATTCTCAAAGTTATCACAGCTATAAAAAACATTTTTTCTTTAGTAGACAGAACAGGTGACATCATGCAGGAACAAGTAATATTGGAAGAAAAGTTGAACAGATTTTAAATGACTGAATATGCTGGACAGAAAAGATCCAGCTTAACTATAGAAGGCTTCTGTTACAAACTAAGACCATGGTGTTGTAACTGGGAGCGTGCAGTCGGGCTGCTGTACGGTGCCCCTTGAGGAAAAGGTTGAGCAGGAAACCCTGTCCACTAGCATCTGCTAAATCAGAGCTGAGTTTCTCCTGCTTCAGAGGTGGTATAGTCCAGCTGACTATTTCAGGTTCTCTCATCTGTGGTACTGATGACAAGAGAAGGAACAAGCCTAGGTCACTGTGCTTAAAAAGTACCCATACTTGATCAAATGAAGAATGTCAGAAACAAGGGAGATAAGACCTCTCGGGTAGCTTTACAATAATGAGAAACTTAGACCTAACTGCAGTGATTATCACGACAGATTAGACCCTTCTTTCAGCGCCACAAATTATTGATTCTTTTGTAAACCTGCATTTCAGAAAGCTAGTTTTTACCATTTTGCTACGCTAAGAGTGTCTGTTCATATCATAATCTCTTTTTTTTTTTTTTTTTTTTTTTACCATTTTGCTATGCTAAGAGCATCTGTTCATGTCATAAGCTCTGTCATTTTGAGGGCAAGATGGTAGCCAATGCAGAAAACGGGGGCAGGAGAGGAGGGGAGAACGAGGAGGCAGAGAAGAGATTGTAAGTCTGAACTCATCCTCTCCATTCCCGTCACAGTGTCAGCTGGGTCCAGCTCCAGATGTGCCTCATCGTAAAGCTTCAAGAGGGGATTTCATGAAAGTAGAGCAAGTGACTAAACCAATTTGCCCTCTCACCTGCAGCGTGTAACTCCATGTACATACTAAAGGCAGGTGCTGGGCTGATGGCCTTGCCCTGGGAATGAAACTTAGCTAACGCTATGCTATTAATGGCTTCCTGGAAGAAAGTATGATGGGAACACAAAGGCCTGAGTTTAGATAAATAAAACATGTGCACGTTTGCTTTGGGTTCTCACCTTCAAAATTGTGCAAACAGCCAGAATTCCCCTTCTGTTTATCTGAAGAGTATTGTATTTAAAAACCGAATAAGCTGTTGCTGCAATACAGCAATTTGACTTAAATGTACACTTTCAAAGGCAGCTTGCATCCTCCGGTAAAATGCATTTTGTACACACTACCTGACATGTGCCGCACAAAGGAAAACCCATGTAACTGTATATCCTACACCGGTAGCAAATGGAAGCGAGAAGAGGCTTAGGAGAAGGGAGATTGCGTCTTATTAAACCAGGTAATATATGCAAAAGGATCAAACTTGCAGACACAGAAGTGACCTGGCTTGTATATAGATGAGAAAGCTCATCTAATAAATCACAGTATAGCATATTTTTGGCTGGTTTCATCAAAGGAAAGGCTTGGAAACGCACCAAACGGTTAAACGACACATGATGTCATTTTACAAGGAATTAGTTGAATACATATAAAGTTTTCCATACTATTTGTTACTTGGACTCCCCACTCAAAAAAATAAATATAGAAATTTCAAAAGTGAATATACAAGTTGGTAGGAAAATATAAGACTGACTCATGAAGTAAAGAGAAGATAATGCAAATACTTTTTATTAGGCTCTGCTCTTACACTATTAAATGAGACACTGATCCTTTTTCAGGGTAATTAATATCTTTCATGGCCAACATTAAAAGCTAGTTTCCGTTTCAGCATGCTTGGGGCCAGGACAGGCTGTGATATCGCACACCAAAAATACAATTTGTTAACTGAACTGTTTCTGTCAGCAACAGGAAAAAAAAAAAAGAACCAAAAAAACCCAAATCCAAGAAAATTATGTATTTCAAAGGTGTACATTACTAAGGTGTTTCTAATGTTTTGTGCTACAAGAGGTGCTACTGCCTGCTTCCCATCAGCAAGGAGTATTCTTTTATTTTTCCTCAACAAGCAGAATCCCAGATAGTTGATTGGGCAACTTAATGACTGGTATTTTCAGGGCAAAGGAGAGCAGACAGATCAGAATCCTGCTCTGACACGCTGTGTAGCGAAATCAGTCTTTCCAGTCACAACAGAAAAAAAAAACCCTAGAAAGGTTAGCATCCCTAAGATTAAATTAGCCTGTGTAATGCCTGTTCAGCTGTGAATCAGTCAGCAAGACTTGATTCATTTATATATTCAAGGGCACTCTGATAGCCTGTGCAAAAAATACCTCCTCGGCAGCTGAACGCTGAGTTGTAATTTTATTATTTTTAAAGTTACTCAGTATCAATCCGTCCCGTGAAGGACTTTGAGCCGCATTTTTCTTCTTGCATATCACTGCGAGGAAGGGCTTTAAAACATCCCTTAACATAAAGGTTATTTATTGTTGTTGTTAAGACCCTTTGTGTTTGCTGCTAGGATCATCTCCGCGCATCTCATCCGCCCAATTTCCTGACGCTACAAGGTCAGGACGTAGCCACGGCGCCCTCGTTTGCCCTCCTCAGTGCTCACGGCAACACCTCAGCAAGCTGCGGTACGTAAGGCTATAGTTACACTGACGCCTGAATCCTTCTCTCTTCCAGAGCATCCCAGACTCCGGTCACAAGTACTACCTGCAGTTCACTACCGAAGACTACAAAAGTGGGGTGAGTTGATGGTCCACAATGTTTTCCTCTGACAGCGTGCGTTAAATGAAGGTCAACATCTTCAGAACAGGCTACATTTAATTGCTTTCGTAAATGGATCTTTCGCAATGGAAAGACTTACCTTTATGCTTCTACCTGCCCGTCCCGCATGGGGCATGGTTTGCACTGAGCATCGCCCGAATAGCTCCTCTGATCGGTCCTCTGCCTCCGCCGGGGTCCAGGTGCTCAGAGCGCCGGAGCTACCCGCTTTGCTCAGTGCCTGAAGAAATCGTCTCGTTGAAGTCACGTCAGGCAACGAAACGCCTGAGTGAAAAACTCTGCCGCGGCCCAAACTCAGTGTGACAGCACGGTCCTCGTTATCCCGCTGCAGCTCCTGCTGCGTCCACACACCAAAAGACTAAAGGGTTGACAGTTGTGTGTTCTTTTTAATTGTAACCCCCCCTGTTCATTCTGTCAGACAGTTGTCATTAGCAATTTCACTGTAAGCATCTGCTTTTCCGTTACACACACGTTTTGTGAAATTCAGATTATTTTCAGAAGTTAATATGAAGCATATTTTTGTTTTAAGGCTGAAGTATCATACAACGAAATTCCCTGTTACCAATTAATGTTATTTCTTGAGAACTCTCAAACATATTTCCAAGATGACTTGGTGCATTTCTGCTACACTTTAATTAAAAACTTCTGTTAAATCACTTTAGCCTTGTAGTTTTAACCTATTTACTTTTCGGGGAAAAAAATTTATATCCATCTGAAGACTTTCTTGACCCCTGTACAGCTTCATACAAAGCGTCTCATGAAGACATGTACGTACTCCACATGTATACTTCACATGTTAATACCAAGAGCTTTTCTAAGAATGTGGTGCTGGTAAATAAAATCTCCATTAAAGATAACAGTTTTAAATTCTAAATTCTACCTTCACAGGAAAATGCCGGGAGCTGCCTTGCTACAGTGCTGTATCCGAAGACAAAGTCTCTGCCTGTTGTCAGTATCAAGTGCACGCATACCAAAGGCCAGAAGCAAATCAAAGAAGAGGACAACAGACTTTACCAAAAAATTAGGCACCAAACCAAACCAATAATTGGAAACAATATTCCAGGTATATTCCTCCAAATAATCAATTGTATTTCATTTTATCTCAAAGAGTCCGCGCACTTTTAAGAACACAAGCAAACATACACTCATTTTAAAAAGCAGATACACACACTTACAGCAGCACCCTAAAACCACAGAGCTAGCTACCAAAACAATTCCACCTTGCCAGCGATTCTTGGGGAGAAAAAAAAAAACCTGCTGCGTTTAGCAATAATGGTAGTCAACACAATGGTGTGAAGGTGGTTTGGATTTAAAACCAAGCCTATGCAATTTTATATTCAAGTAAAACGCCATTTTATAGTCAAGTAAATGCAAGATGTCCTCAAGTAATAACAACTGCCGTAACCCACACACCTTCCCCAGCTGCGGGTGGAAACTCACGAGGGATGACTAACAGAATTTTTCCATCCTGGAAGCAGAGCGCCCCGCTCCCTCTTTTCCTGCCGGCTAGGTAGGGACCTGCATTCTCGCAGATGCCGGGGTTCTCACCTCCTTGCGGGCACCCTGTGAACAGTCTCTCGGCAATTCCAGTTCTGTCACGCTTTCATACTTCTACTGTGACTGCAGGTTTAGCATCATTCTCCCTGTTCACAACTGTAACGCATCCGAGAGAAGAGTCACTTCCCAGGCAGAGTGCTACGCCAGGCAAAAGTGTTCCGGGCTTTATCATTTGTCTGCTCAACAGCCAGAATTAATCATTTTTATATTACTCTCTTCCTCCCTTGCAGACAGCTATGGAAATATTGAACCTGCCCTGGAGCCAGTGTGGGCTTTGGCTGTTGCTGGCAGCAGTTACATCATGTGGGAAAAGTCAACGGAGAACTTGGGTTACTCCATGGCACAAGTCAAGTCTGTGAAGCAGTGGGTAAGTGCAGTGGAAATTACACGTCTGCGTTGCAGAAGCTAACAGAGTCTACCAAGCAGCAGAGAATAAACCGAGCCGCAACTGCTCACGCTCTCTGTAATGGGTGCAATTCTCCCCAAATCCCAGCGGCTTCTCCATACAAGTATCTCCACCTCCGGACAAGTATTTTGTCCAGGTTTTGGAGGAAAAATTTTACTCATTTGGACAAAATTTGGTTTTCTTTGTTTGCATGAGTGGATCTGTTGGCTTCTGCAGGTTGAATCGGGAGGTTTGAACACGTGGTCCTGCAGTTCATCAGCCCCATACCAAGTCGCTCCTCGTACTCTCTGCCCTCCTAGCCAAGCCCGAAGGTAGCATCAGCCTAATACCCAACACGCGCTCTCCGGGGAACACATCTTAGACCTGCAGCATATAGGGGTTCCCAAAGCTTTGGGTCCCGCAGTCATCTGTGATCGATAAACGGTGTTCGGGGTTTACTCCCTAGTTATTTAGAATGAGATTTCTCTGAAGGGGAGATTAAGGAGGTAAGATTCTCAAATTTATTTGAGGGTTAAACTCAATTAATTGGCATCTGAGTCAGCCTAGTTTCGTGTCAGAGAGCTGTCAGACTGCAGAGCCACGCTGCAGTCAGTGCCTTCAAAGCTTTTATGCAGGAAGGGCTCCTAATTCCCCATCTCTCCTCATGCAAAGCCTGTCTCACTCCCGCCAACGACCACGGCCATCTCGAGCCCTGTTCGTCTCGCTCCCCACGCAAGCTAAATGCAGTCAAGTAAATCAGAGTAGACTCTAAACTTCAGCCATATAACCTGTGTTCTTCTTCATTTTTTTCTTTTTGATCCACGCCCAGCTAAGGAAAGATGATTTTATTGAGTTTGACTACACTGTCCTACTCCACGAAATTCCAACACAGGTGAGAAAGCGTATGCGTATAATACCTCCTTTCATCCACAGAGGAACAGTATAAAGATCGTAAGAGATGTGTATTTTTAAATCTGTTCTCCAGGAAATTATTTCATGTCACATGCGGCTCACTTGGCTTCCTGGTCACCCTCTGAAAGTGAAATACTTCTGCGCTTCAGACAATCAGGGGCTCGAAGATGGATCTGCAATGGAATCTGGGTCAGCTGCTGGGATTTTACATGAAAAGGGAGCAAATTTTTAAACACGACCGTCAGCTTTACGTGTATGTATTACATGAGAAAATCCTTGTGTTAATACACCTGGAGTTGTGATAATTTTCCTATACAAGCCGAACAGTGAATTTGAATGCTTTCACTAGTCTGTTCTGTTCCAAAATTAATTCCTATAAATTCTTAAACTGCGAAACTCATGTTCTAGAATGCTACCTAAAAACTTTGCTACTACACGTACATGCAGATAAACGTACGCAAGTTGATTTTATGTCACTGCTACTTAGAGTAACATGGTTTGTAAACAAAGATAATATATTTGGATAAAAGTCTTGAGAAAAGTATTAATCTGTCACTACGAAATACTCGTCTACTAATTTTTTGTTTTTTCATTTTTTGGGATAGATACATGCCGATTTCTAACTTACATCTCCAATAAAACAAATACCACCACGCAGGGTCGAGGTTGGGTTTTCTTTCACGACGCTGCTGTTTGACCCCAGCTTCCCATCTTCTCCCAGTGTCCGGCCTTAAAAAGGATGTGGACGAGCGTAGGCAGCGAAACGCCTCCCCGCACGGCCCTCCAGAAGCCAGCAACCAGCATCCGCGTGGCCCTAGTCCCGCTGACGCACTGCTGTTCCCTGCAGCCTGAGCTGACATAAAAAGAAAGTTTCTTCGCTCGTATTTGTGAAGGCAACTCAGAAAATATTGATACAAGGAAAACATGTTTTGTTGTCTTCCCACATCTGTCACCAGTCCAGAACACTGCGAGGCAGTGTTTGTCGGGTGGAAATTGAGGATGTTGTCTCAGTCTATTTGCAGGACGACGCAGTTCTTGCTATTTTACCTTGAACGAAAACAGACGGAACTGCAAAGACAGGACGGCTCTGTACGGATGAACTTCCACATTTGGGTTTGGCGGGGGAAACAGCCCGCTGCCAGCACACCCCGTCAAACAGCTCTTCTGTTCACGACTGCCGTGTCTCGTACCCATCCGAAACGCAACAAAGCCCACCTGCAAGAACGCGGCTTTGCCCTTTCACACCACATTCTCCATTTGGGTTTAGAGCACACCCACTGTCCCACCTTTGTTATCCGAGATCGTGCCAAACCGTCTCAAGTTCGTCTGTTTTTTTTTTTATTATTTTCCCCATTAGCAAGACTTCTGCCAGGTTAAATTAGCTCCGTATCAATAAGTACACCTCACTTTGGAGAAGAGGCAACGGTCTCTGCCTTCTGGGGTGGTTGTGTTCTTCGTAACTCGCGGTATATTGCGCTACTGTTGATCTGTAGTCGGTAACGATGATTAAGGTATTCAAGGTGAAAGCTTTAACCGGGGGATATTTAGGCTGGGTGATCTGTTAAGCCCCCAAATTCAGGCATTTTACACGAGTGTATTAGTCTGATATACTTTTACTGACTGAAGCTTTTTATGTCAGTGCGTAACAGGCATCACAATAAATTCAGTGAAGCAGCATTTCACATACTCCTGGTGTGTTCCTTTGTGTCGGTAAAACATTCCTCACCATCAAAAGCATGAAAACAGAGCTTATAATGGCAACATTTCTTAAAGAAATTGGTGACGAAAATATTTTTTTTAGAATTAAGAAAATAGCGTGGATTTTGCACTTCGGGGCTCTACTTTAGCAATGCATTTAACCACAAGTTTAGTTCCCTTACCTTCTTATTGTCACCGCTCTCCGGACCTGGAGCAGAGGATTGGGCACTTCCGACTTGCCAGATCGGCGTAATGTTGACTGCTGCTAAGCAACACAAACTCACGTCAGTTAAGAAACCGCACAACGACGGCTTTGGGACAAGTAGCAAACCTGCTGGAATTCGAAGGCAAAATTTCCGCCAGCTTCTTTAGGGCCAAGATTTCAGTCAGTGGATCAGAACCTAAAATCATACAGGTTTTACTCAGGCAAAATTCTGGGTTTTATCAACGCAGACATTATCAGAGTTGTGGGTCAGGCGAATTCACAGAGAATTCTTCACACTAAAAACGCGCCACGTGCAGAGCGTGTCTGTAAGAGGTTGTACAGACAAGAGACGAGGAATCGTTCTCTTCCATCTTTGTGGCTAGGAAGAGCTCGACTCAGTCAGATAGACTACGAGTGCTATCTAAAATTCGATTAAAGGGAAAAAAAAAAGGTCACGCACCAAGAAACAAAACCCAGGGCGCCCCAAAATTAGGCTCTTGCTAGTGCTTCTGTCCTTCTTCCGCTGTCCCCCGCCATCCACTAGCCTTCCCCCACCCGCAGACTTTCTCCCTCGCAGTCAAGCTCAGCAGACCCCGCTGTGCCGCCCCATTTATTTCTTGCATTCATACTGCTTTTATAAGATCTCTGGATGTCAGTAAACACGCTGTATTTGCTTGTTTAAGAAAATCTCCGAATGTCAGAGAACCTGCAGGGCTTTTCTTGAAACAGGTTCCAGCTGAGTATTTTCACATCAAAATAAAGCTCTGAATGTAAGGGAATCAAGAAGGATTTGGCCCAAAGCAACACCACGCTCATACACAACGTTGTGCCTGTGTTTCGTTAGCATTTACATGCCCCTGACAAATCTCTGTACTTTTTTCAAGGTTAAAATAAATAACTTTCACCGTCTTTCCATGAAGGCTGAGAAAAAAGCCCAGCCACTGCAGCTCCGTCTACGTCTGGTAAACATCACGCACAGTCCTGTGCCAGGAACGTAGCTGGTTTTGAACTGGAACTTCATTCTCTGTTTACTGGAAGCCTGCAAAAATGCCGTTAAGCTGAGTATGTCAGGAAGAGAGAGCACGCGAAGGAAATCCAGCGCGGATCTTCTGGTAGTAATTTAAAAAAAAAAAAAAAAGACAGTAATACCTTCTCTTTCTCACCTAACTATAACATCCTTCTTTTCTCTCTCTTCTCCGAGTGAGCAAGATCTGTTCAACCCATTCCCAAGCTGAGCATCATCAGCGACGCGCACTTTTGATTGTAAGATTCTGGGAAAAGGAATCTTTGCTTTCGTTTTCTAACACAGAGCCAAGAAAGCAAGCCCGGAAAAATAAATCCATGTTGTTCATACTTTTGGAAAGAGTTAACTTCTACGTACATGATTATCATTGACTCTTTTTGAATGCCTCGTACCATCAGTGATAAGCAGACGTGGCGATAAGCAGCTGCACTGACAGCGACTTTGCCCAGCTCGTGAGGAGTCCGGAGGCTCCCAGCGCTGTTTCTGAAGGATGAGGAGGAAAAAGTGACGCTCGTTCCCCGGGCTGTAGGCTGTAAGCGCAGGAGCTAGAGGAGCTGCGCTTGGGGCACAGATGTGGAAACTGCTCAGGACTGGATGACGAGCCGCCCTTGCGCCTGTCCAGCAGTTAACATTTAGTTTAGCCTCCTAAACTAAGATTTTTCAGCTTTCAAAACCAGAGAAACGGTAACTAGCCTAATTACAAAAAAAAGATGTATCAAGTAAAAAAAAAACACCACCCAATTTTAATACAAATGGATTAAGACAAATTTCAAGACAAATTATTATCAGCGTTATAACATTTATATATTTTGTGAATGAGCAGCATTTACATGTGAACAATTCCGTTGTCATCTCCCGGTGGCTTCTGAGAATACCACAAAGGAAGGATATTATGACGAAATTACGAGCCCGAGTCCCACTGCAGCCCGCACTTATCCAGCCAGCCTCGACTGCTTCTATTGCTTGGGCAATTCAGTTTTCAGAGAAGATTGTGAAAAACCGTTCACTCAAGAGGAAAAAAGTCAGCTCTTGGCTTTGCCCTTTTTTGCAGGAAGTCGCCCTGTTGCTTCAAGGTATTTGTTAATTATTTCTTCTTGAGTGCTGGGCGAACACGGTTGGTATTTACAGTATTCCATTGTATATTCACCCTTTCCCTGTAGAGTTGGAAAAGAACAGTCAAAATGAGGACGCTAAACACGTAAACCTGTTTAGCAGCAGGCCACACCCTAATCTGTGAAATAACACGCAATAATCCTTTCCAATTCAGCATACCAACACGCACGCAGCTATGAGATGTGAGGACGTACAAACAGTAGCTGAACATTGCTGCTTTGAGACAAGCCTGGGGTTCACCAGGGTGACATTCTGCTTAAAAACTTGGAAATGATCACGGTATTAATAACAAGCCGGTCAAGCGCTCGCAGAATACCAGCGGCACTCCCGTGTTACGAGATGCGGAATAGCAAATCTTACGTAATGCACAAACTCACCCGATTCAAATGCATCCAATGGGCGTAAAACTACAGGCATACGTATTATTAAAAAAGGACATCTTAATAACGGGAGCGCTGCTGTCAAAAATCTCTTCTACTTGCAGCCGTTTGTAATTTAAGGAGTATGCCTCAACTTTCCCAGCCTGTGAATTTAATACCTTCACTGATACCTAGCGCTCTGTAGTACTTACGACTTTGAACCTCTTCCCTCCTCAAAGGATGAAAGAATGTTTTGGCCAGAAATGACACAGCTGATGATAGCCATGTTAATTAACAAGCAGTTAAAGTAACCGTAAAAACTCTAAGGTTATTTTCCTATTCCACATTTGTTTTGATTTTTAGCGCTTTTACTGCTACGCATGCTAGGTGTATGATGATGCAAATTAGCACACTCGATTTACAGCAATAAACATGTTCTAGCAAAAAGTACCGAGAGTGCTTACCTCTGTGCAAGACCTCAGCTCAGTGGCATATCCAAACATATCATTCAGTGGCACCTAAAATCCAAGCATACTATTCTTGTAAAAACAAGACATTTTTCCATCAACTTTGGGTTGTCATCCAATTAATCTCCATTACGATATAAAGAGACCGTAAAATCTGGTGCTCTTTGTAAACAGTACTGATCTCATTATCTATTTTTGCAAAGTACCTCTTATTTCAACTGATTTATATCCACAATGTGTTTTCAGCACGAAACCCCAAAAATCTCGGGGTTTGAACACACCAGATACCGGAGTATCCCGAACTCAGCAATCCGTGTCACCAGGCACAAGATCGTAACGTTTGAACCTCAGGACTGCAGCCCTAAACACAATTTACGAAGCAGTCGTGACACGGCGTGTGGTTTGTCATCAGCTAAGGCTTTGCCGAGGCGATTTACCCTACCGCCACCGTTAGCCGTACACTTCTACACGACCTGACATGAGAACAAATATGTTTTTAGCAGGGACGTGAAAGAAGGAACGTTGAAGAAAAGGCATTTGCATTTATCTGCAATTATTACAGTTAATGCAGGTAAAAGCTGCCAAAAAGATCTTCCCCCTGAACTCCGTGCACTGGTACGGCTGCAGAAGTTCGCTTCGCTCTGAGGCAGCGCGGCCAGCCCACCTGGAGAAACCCCAGTTCTGCCCCTTTCTCTGCCACCGTGTGATTTTAGGTTAGTAAGTCGGCTTCTCTGGAGCCAGGCAGATTTACCATAGGTTCACTAATACTGCGCTATACGCTGCCACGAGCTGAAAATTAACGTTACGCTTATCCGCTGAAAAACTAACGTTATGTTTATCCACTGAAAAACCTGGCTACAAGTTTACGCCTATCGGTCAGGAAGTAAAACAGTAACGGAGTCGAAAGGCAAGGCAGGAAAAGGAAAAGGTCAGGAACCAGGGAACAGCACAAACCTCAGCATAGAGAGTAAAGTAACCCTCTGTGCCGTCTTGTCCTGTGATCACTCCGTGACGGCGATTAATTCCAGCTATCACTGCTCCTTGGAATTCAGTGGGTGCCATCACCTCCACCGCCATAATGGGTTCAAGTATACGCACAGTGGCGTTTTCCATAGCTGGAGAAAAAAAAAAACTTAACTAAATAATCAAACATCAAAGAACAAGCCTGGTATAATTCAAGATGCCCCTATGCATGGCAAAGAAGTGTTTTATGGTTAATGCTAAGTGCTTCTTACATCAGTGGGAGAAAACAATAATCGACTATGCGGCATTCCAGCTCCCCTGCCTTTTATCCCTGAGACCGTAATGCCGGGAGGTACACAGTTGGAGAGAACGTTCTTTCTGTACCCACGTAAGGATGAAGCTATTAGTGTTTCTTTACTGCATTCTAGGAAAACAGCATTTCCTTCATACACCGAAATGAATTATTGTGCCTCCCTCAAAATGTCTATAAACTCTTGCATCTATTCTGCTCTACGCAGCCGGCCAAACTTCAAATGTACGCACGGATACACCAGGCAACAAACGAACCTCCAAGCAAGCGGGCTGTTAAATTTAGCTCCAACAAAGAAGCCAGCAGGGCTGCGCGCTCAACCAACCAGCTTTATACCTTGCTTAAGGGCTCCTTCTCCTGCTCTGATGAAAGAGATTTCGTTAGAGTCCACCATGTGATGTGCACCATCATCTAGGACGAACCGCACTCCAGATATCCTGTGCCCTGACACTAGGCCTTTTTCACACGCTTCTCGGAATCCCTGTCAAATAACATCTCAAAGTCAGCAGTTTGTAGACCAAAATGAAGCTTAAAAAAAGAGCAGTGTTAACATCAGCCTACACAAGACATTAAACTTAAAAACCAAAACAGCAATACCAAAAAAACCCCAAAACCTTTCACAGTTTTTAACAGCAATCCCATATCTACCCAACAGACCTTCTTGTTTGGTAACGCAAGAAAATAACCGTGGGCAAAACTTTTCATTCCCAAGCGTTTGAAAACTTTGTACTGTCATTCTTTGGCACCTCAGTTTCATACTGCTATTTTTTAAAAATAGAAACCATGTAACAGGACAAGGACAAGAGGACAAGGAAGAGGACAATCTAAGGACAAGAAAAAGAAACGCACTCAGGATTTTGCTTTGCTAAGGGGCTGTATGATCACGAACTGAAAGAATGCTCCACGTGGGAAGAACGACTCTAACCACTCGACTGAAGAACGAGGTTCCTTTAAGATTGCATGCTTTTTCCAGGATTTGGCAAAAATCTTTTAAGTGTTGCATCATGGACTAACAAAGGAATGATTTTAGGTTGATGCATTATTACAGGAATTGAAAGATCATGGTAGGTACTACTTAAAGTACTACGTGATAAATTATACAGTTACAGAGAGACAGACACAGAGAAGAATCCCACAGAAGAGATTAAAAAGAAGGAGTATTTGATAATGCACGCAGGAAATCTAACTTAATTACAGTTTCCTACATAACTGGCCTCAGAGAAGCCACAAAAGAAGTTACATATTTCGGGGTTAGAGATGAGAATCGTGTGGCCACAATGAAAAGCAGAAGAGGGCCGCTGAAAAGTGGATTCAACAGGAGGAGGCTTGTTTGTAAGAAAGGGAAGCCTACCTTCTGCACTGGGGCACCGCTACGGAAATAGAGCAAGCACATGCTACCAAAGAAAACAAACAGCAGCTTCTAAATGAAGTGGAAAAACCTAGGAATGTAAGATATTAAGCAAAGCCACACAAATCTGACTCTGCTTCCACTGAAGTAATGGGAAAAGCCTCCTTGCCTGGGGCAAGACAGTCACAGTAAATGTGGTCGGTACAGCAGGAAAACGACGAGAATTGGTAGTTCTTGGATCATACACACACACACAAAATGCTTCGTACCTTTTCAATAGCGGGCACGAACTGTTTTGGAATATTTGTGCCAACGGTTCTGTCTTCAAACTCTAATTTTGTGTAGTCCTCCGGATCCAGGGGCTCAAGAACGCCCATAACTTTGCCATACTGGCCCGCTCCGCCCGTCTGTTTCTTGTGTGTATATTCAAACCTAAGAACAAACAAATCCCCCCAGAATACCACATTACTCATGACACAAACCATGCTCTAACCACCATTTATCTAAGGAAAAAAGTTCCATTCCGCATTTGGCTTTATTCCATTTGGTTATGCGTAACCACGACGGCTAAATGCCTAACAGCGGCTGAAAAAACAGCTGGGGATATTTAATGCCCGAAGAGGGAGCACCGTGGCTCTTCATCTTGCAGGCAGGAAGCTGAGCGACTGCGATGAGTTTAATCTCTCAAAAAACAGCTGCAAACCCCAGGTTCTTCTGCATGTGGTACGCAATGCTAACAAAGCTGGCTTACCTTTAGGCTTGTGCTTTTTGTTGACTAGGTAACGAGCGATAGGATGAGAGAAAATGGGCTCAAGCTGCGCCAGGGAAGGTTTAGATCGGATATTGGGAGAAATTTCTTCACGGAAAGGGTAGTCAAGCATTGGAACAGGCTGCCCAGAGAGGTGGGGGAGTCCCCATCCCTGGAGGGGTTCAAAAAACGGGCAGAGGTGGCACTTGGGGACATGGTCTAGTGGGCGAGGGCCTTTCCAACCTTAGTGATTCCTGGTTTTAATTTAATTAAAAACTAATCCAGCCACCAAGGCAGGAAACATGAAATTATTCCTCTACTCTTAATTGTTTTAGTGGTGGACTTGGTAGTGTAGGTTAATGATTGGACTGGATGATCTTAAAGGTCTTTTCCAACCTGAATGACTCTATGATTTTTTTTGTTTGTTTCTGCACAATACACCATACATATGGTCTCCACCCACAAAGTAGTTTGATGTTAAGTGCAGACACTAAACAAGGGGATCAGGTGGGGGAAAGCTTGCGAAGATGAACTGTTAAATACTTTTTCAAATGAAAGTGGAGGGGTGCGAGG